CTTCTGTGTGAAGTGAAAAAAACCCTGAGGAAATAGATCATGTGTGAAGTGAAAAAAACCCTGAGGAAATAGATCATGTGTGAAGTGAAAAAAACCCTGAGGAAATAAATCTCGACGAGGCAGATCTCTGGGCACCATTATTGGGGCGATTGGGGGTCAGGAGGAGATCGCTGAGGGATCACTCGATACCCTGAAATGCCATTTGGGTGGTCTACCTCGCAGGGGGTCGGCGCACCCCAAAATCGCCAAAACAGCTCCTGCCGCCCCCAAATCGCACATGCCGCCTCGGGACACTCCACCTGACCTCTCCTAGAAGGCTGGGGTTCTCTAGAGCACGCCTCTATACCATGGTGCACAGTGCAGGACCTGTGTTTTGTTTATTGCAATTATTGCTTCTAAAGGCATTTTTGCTCAGAAGGATTTTCTGTTTTTGCACACCTTATTTCTTTTTTAAAAAAGGATTGAAACTGGGGTGGGGAGTTTGGGGACTCTGGCATTCTCTCCTTGGTAAGTAAGCTTTAAAACTCTTGCTTGCTGTCCTGTCCTGTCAAGGACAAGAACAAAAAGTACTGCATCAATGCTTTCCAGGTCTATATGATTTGGTCAAACAACTCAACACATAGAGGTTGTACATTTTTGCACTGGAAGTTTGCTTTGATGCTGTCTTCTGGAACCATTTGCTAATCACTCCACTGGTAAGTTCATTAAAAGCCACAGGCGTTCAGTCATTTAATGCTTGCTAATAAAGAATGGGTGAGGGCTTACTTACACAACTGCGAATGAGCTGTATGTTACAATCGGGCACACAATTAAATTTGTTGCCTGGAAATTCATCAGCAAACATATGAAATTATTATAGTCCTGATCACATAGGGAAAATTGTTCCATTTTATGGCAAAATCAACCATATGAAGCTACATAGACGTCCATAATGTTATTTATTTATTTATTATATTAGGCTTTTATACTGCCCTTCCCACAAGTAGGTCCAGGGCATTGTAAAACAAATTATTATAAAAATACATATAAAATAATTAAATAGTCTAAAATACAATTCTAGAAATAAAGTAGTTTGCATTTCCTGTGTTCTTTAGTTCATGTGAATTTTCTTTCATACTTTTTAACATGTTACCACTTTGCCCATGAACAACTGAATTCAAAGACATACTCTGGATGCAATTACAGTTTCTGATTGATTCTGGGTTTCACCCAAATGGATGTTTTTACAGACAATGGCCATGACGCCTGGGCAACTTACACAAGGATGTACACACATTCAAAAACAACAGGGCTGGTAAGCAGTCTTCAGAAAAATGTTCTCTTGACTAGTCAAGAACATTATTCCCTAGATATATGAACTGAGAAATGTGAAAATAAGTCAGTGGACTTACGATCCCGAGGGACTTCAATGGCTCTGATGAACTGATGAAGGTATAAAGCAAGCACCACTCCCACGTATGTTAGGAGATACCTTTGCATTACCATGTTGAATATTTGGCTAAGATCCAATGTTCCCAGATTCCTTCAACAAGGCAAAGTGGTGTCTTACTACTGTAGTGCAGTAGGATGTTTTGATTTACTGCAAAAAGACAAACACAGAGGAATGTTATTGACCTACATTTAGATTAATACGTGTCTCTTTCTCATTTATGCACAATCAAACCAATTCTTTTTATTCTGATGAGACAAGCCTGGTCTACATATGTAGCTGAATGAGTAAGAAGAATGTGGAAGTGGTAAAATGGTAAATGAAGGACTGCATATTTCAAAGTTCCCCAGCATTAATAGTGCCCTGTAACTAGTAAACTACCTCAGCGTGCTGAGGCAGAGGTTGGAACTGGGACTGCCAAACTCTAGGTGGGTCCTGGAGATGTCCCAAAATTACAACTGATCTTCAGACTACAGAGATCAGTTATCCTGGAGAAAATGGGTGCTTTGGAGGGTGGGCTCTATGTCATTATACCCTGCAGGGGTCCCTCTTCTTTCTAAACCCTGCCCGTGCCAGGCTCCACTCCCAAATCTCCAGGAATTTTCCAATCCAGAACTGGCAACTGTAATTATAACCCTTGTCCAAGGTGTGCTAATTATTGTTTTAACTTGCAGGGAGGTTTTACATGAGGGAGCAATTTAATTTTGACAGCTCTACCTGTGGTCTGAAATGCTACAGCCAATTCTATCACCTCAGATGTGCAGTTTTTACTCATTCACTAGAGTTGGGGGAAAACACCAGTATGACTAGGCCTCAGAAAGACCAGGCCTCAGAGGGGCCAACATTAAGCACTCCAGTCTTCCTCACAAAACGTCTTGTCAGTTCTCATGTAAAAAATCATGTTTATAAGGAATACTTTAAAACGAAAAAGGGTTTCAAACTCTAACATTCATTTTGTTTCTGTCCTGGAAGATAGTGTTTGTGGTTCAAGCACAGCTCTACTGACCTATCCACTTCACTGTGGCTAGGCAGAGTCTGACTTGACACAATGCTTAAATACCTGTGTGCCATGATTCTACTGGCTGTTCTGATGCCAACTGTCTTTTTTCACTTTTATGGCAGAGACCGACTGAGGTTTGTTTCTCATTATACATGGCATACAGGTAAAAATCCTAAAGTAAAAAAATATATAATCTTCTTGTCAAATTAAGGGTATATGTATGCAAATTTCAGAGTATTTGTCTTTAAAGTATTTGGAAACAAACTGCTGTTTCCACACATTTTCAAGGAATAAGCACATAGAAAAGTTTTCAATAAAGAAAAAGGGGTCCAACTTGCAACGTGTTATACTGCAAACATTCCCTGTTCCCCACTTAAAAAAAAAAAAGGTCTGGTTGGCCCATCTTGTCCAAAATTTTGTTCCACATAATGGGATCCCCTTTCACCATTTGACGTATAAAAATGACTCCTGCATTTCACAACAGGACATGCTATCAGAGAAATTAGATATCACCAATTCACAGGGTTGCCATCCCCCCAATGGGGGCAGGTTTTCCCCTGCTTTCGGGTCCCCAATCCACCACTGGCCAGCTGGAGTGTCCTCTGCACAACATGCCTGGCATGATGACGTCACTTTCGGGTGATGTAATCTCAGCGTGTGCGCTTTGCATGCACACCAGAAGATCCAGGAACTCAGGATGGAGCCCCCCGCCAGCAGCCAGATAAGACTAGGCAACCCTACTATTATATACTGGGCTTGAGGCAGCTTTTCTCAAAAGTGATTTCTTTATTCAGCTCAGAACACCACAACAACACACAGAACAATCCATACAATTTGGAACTGCTAAACCACACCCCTAGAATACTAAGGTCCAATCATGAGTGAGCGCTTAAGACCTATAGGGTTTGTTCCCGCCGAAAGTCATAGTCTTTCTTGATTGGTCCGTTCCACAACAGCAGCCAATCAGGTTGTTGATTTTAGGATACTGAGAGTCTATGGAGCTTGTGACTGAAGCTCAGGCTTATTCTCCATTCAGGCTATCTACATAAGGAAATACATAACACCTACCAAGTTAGGTAGTCTCCAGATGACAGAGATCAGTTCCCCTGGAATCAATGGCACTATAGCCAGCTGATGGCCCTCCCCTCCTCAAGCCCCACCCTCCCTACCGTCCATCTCCAAATATCCAGGATTTCCCAACCTGGAGCTGGCAACCCTAACTTAAAGGTCAAAAACATTGTTATCCACTTAAAAATTGCAAGAACTAGAAAGAATACCTTAGACAATAATAATCATTTGCATTTTTTTTTAAAAAGAATCATAATTAATCTATGACATGCCCCCTCCGCATACCCTAAAGCAGTTTTATGAACACTTCTAAGAAACAACTTCAGCGTTTCAGTGCTGGCAACAAAGTAATCTAAACACATTAAGGATTGTACCTTTAAAATAAAAAGGACAAAAGCTGAAAATAAGCCCTTTATAATTATACCAAAAAAAGAGAAGAAACAGAAACTCAGTTATTCAGAAGTTAGACATACATTACATCGACTTTTGATAACACACTGCAAAGTAGCTCTCTGCACATGACTGATAGCAGTAACTTACTGCATTCCTACACATATTGAAATAAGAAAGCAAACAATAATACCTCAAAGATTAAGTCCCCTTACACAATCTTACGATCTAGTGAGTTTCTTTTCTTAAAAGTAACATAATTTTGACTGTCAACTATTTGTAAAGCTCAGGATATAATTATGGCTGTGGATTTGTGATGATTATCAGGGCAGATACCTGAGCTGAAAATATGCTAACAAATATATTTCGGCATCCCAAATGTATCTGGGTTTTCTCAGGAAAACAAAACACCCCTTCCCCCAAAAGTCCAAGATATATTTGGGGATTACCAGATAGATCTGAAAGCATTGGATTGCTCCCACCTCTCAGCTCTTTGTGGGGCGTCTACTGCAGTCCCTTTAAAGTTTAAAAAGACTGAAAACAGCCCAAGGATCACCTGTGTTGGTGATGAGCAGATTGTTCTTGTTGGCTCAGCTTGGGGCTGGCTTTTCATGCAGCCTGGTTTAACCTGGGCTGAAGGAGAAGTCAGCCCAGGATCAACTGTGTTGGTGGTGAGCAGACTGTTCTTGTCAGCTTGGCTTTGCGTTGGCTTCTCTTGCAACCCAGTTTAACCCGGGCTACATGAGAAGCCAGCCCCAGGATCTGCTGCCACAGGAAGTGGTGGTGGCTACAAGCATGGACGGCTTCAAAAGGGAATTAGATAGGCATATGGAGCAGAGGTCCATCAGGGGCTATTAGCCACAAGGTATAGATAGGGGCTCTGGGGCAAGTGATGCTCTGTCTTCTTGGTGCTTGGGGGGGGGGGTTCAACAGTGGGAAGGCTTCTAATGTCCTGGCCCCACTGGTGGACCTCCTGATGGCACCTGGTATTTTTGGCTACTGTGTGACAGAGTGTTGGACTGGATGGGCCTTTGGTCTGATCCAACATTGGCGTCTCTTATGTTCTTATGGGGAGCATATTGCTCCCCACCGGCTCAGCTTTGTGCTGGCTTCTCCTACAGCCTGGTTTAAACTGGGCTGCAGGAGAAGCCAACCCAGCTCCAGGATCGGGCTGGCTTTTTTTTTAAAGGCATTTTTCTTCTCAGGTCTATTGGACCAGAAAATTTAGAATTTCCAAAAAATCCCAGATCCAAATACCGTACTGGTATTGGGATCCATGATTTTTCAGGAATATTGAATTTTTTCCAGGTACAATAGACCAGAACCGAAAAATACCGGTTAAAAAAAACCCTGCCCAGCTGTTTGGAAACCCTTGCTTTCTGCTTCTCATGGCTTTTCACAGGGAGCAGAAAGCAGGGTTTAAACCAAACAGCTGAGCAGTGGTCCTATCACTCAGCTGTTTGGAAACTCCTGCATTCTGCTCCTTGTGAAAAGCCGTGGGGAGCAGAAAGCAGGGTTTTAAATCAAACTGCAAAAATGTGTTTTGTGCCCATCCCTGTCTGTGATTCAGATGAGATTTAAACCACCGGGTTTCCAGATCACAGGTAATTTTCCTCACCACTATGCTATACTAGGTCCCAGATGTATAGTTCTCCTCAATGCAACCACAGGTTTGTTATTAAGGTAGATGTATTGTCCAATAAATATCAATTTCAAACCAACATGAATACTGTCATTTAAAACAGACTGCAAACAATCTTTTTGTTTTCAACTGTATTTCTATTCCTCAATAAATATTTTTAAAGCTCTATTGTGTCTTACTGATAGAATGGCAGATGTGTTGCCATTACAAGTCAAATTATGCTATAGAAAAGAAGCTTCCCTTCTGAAGTTATCAAGTCTGAAATAATTTCTGCAAAGTTGTAGAAAGTGATTGTATGGAAAATTAATTCTGATTTCCAATATGTTAAAAGAATGATTATATGGAAAAAGAGAGATGTATCCACCCGTAGACCTCATCTAATGTTGTAATCTATTTCTCATCTACGGAGAGATACAAAAATAACATTTGGCTACTATCAAAATGCAGCACTAATTTCCTATTGTCATCTCTAAAATCAACTTAAATGCAGTAATCAGACAACATATGGGTTGGCAACAGAACTGGAGAGAAATGTCCTATCCCTTTAATATGGGCTTCATGTGTAGAAATGAGCAAAGCAAAGCTTTTCATGGTTTAGAGATAAATAACATTTATTAGTAAATAACTTTCCATTAATCCTAACTTAAAAGAACAGAGCATTTTATTCTTCTTCAGGCAGTTAGCAACTCTAGCATAGACACATTGTTTATTAAATTGCCACCATACTATATCGGCCTTAATTCAATAGCCATCACACTTTTTGCATCCTTCTCTCTACTCAATATGCAAAGCATTTTCATTTATAGCATCTATCCTATATAATAGCCTTATGCCTAGAATCCAGCCATAACTCACTTTTAGATTTCTGAAGTAACTTCAACTGTAATCAGCCCAGCAGCTGAACAGTGTCTAAGTGTGTTCGTGTTAAATGTATAAAACTTAGTGCCTTTTAAAGAATGCCACTGATAACAACCAGAATGGAATTAAGGTGAACACTCTTGTGTGGAAGGCATGCAAAGGTCATGTG